CTTACATTTTTTTGTCACTTAATCTTTTATACGCGATCCATTTTCTTTTTTATATTTTCTAAATTTAGTTATTTCGAACGATTCAATAATTAAAAAGCTTATGACTGGGAAAAAGACGTTATTGCACAATTAGCTATTCTCGATCTATGATATTTGTCTGGGAAATAAAATAAAATACATTACGAAGCTTATATAACTGCTATTATTGCCATGGAAGATTTTTTAATCTTACATGTCTGTAAAATTGATAAGAGTTTAGAGATGTAATTACCAGCTGAAATAGGTTTGGGAAATGACGCCGCCAGTTGAGAATTAACATTTCGTTCGTTTCAACACGTATGCACGTTGGTATAATTGCGAGCTATCCAAAGTGATCAATGACGTTTTCGTTCTTCACGAGGTAATTCGCGCTTATTCATGAACTCAGGCGAAACCGGCGATATATCTCTTCCCGCGATCACTATACTCTACAGTAATCCCCGAAATTTGTATGCGTTTCACACGGCAGACCGTCCATCCCTTCGCGCTGAAAATCAACTTTGTTATACTTGTTCCAACCTTTCTATCAACTTCGCCGGAGAACCGGTTAACATGCTAATGCCGTTACATATTAATTACTGTTAATGCCGGTGAGTACTCGGTATCTTAAAAGCAAACTGGTAACCAATTGATAATAAATTTAACAAGTGACAAGGCTGCGGGCGTACTCACGAGCTGACAATTGAAATCACGATTGCGCGAGTGCACAAGTCCAGTTTCGAGAACATCGGCAGAATTCGAATTAACTTTTTAGACTTACTATAAAATTTCGATCGAAATTGAACCTTGTATTTAACGTTCGATCACGCTATTGTATACAGTTGATATCTTTAATGTAATTATTATTCCTATTTTGGATTTCAAATACAACTGAACTTGCGTTTCTCTGAAAGTCGTTTTCTTGTCAAATGAAAATTTGGAATGAGAATAGTCTGGAAATGGAAGCTCGAAATTTGCGTCGGGGTTGGCACATTAAATTTTATTTTACAAGACAATTATAACGATTTCCACATACCTCATAATATGCATTTGTATAGTTTGTTATCAATTTCTTCTGTTGCACATTGGTCGCTAATATAGGTGTAAATCAATAACACAGTAATTATCGAGCGAAACGCATAATTAACGACTGAACTAATTAACGACTAAAACGCATAAGACTCATTACGCTCGCGAAATTCCAAACGGCGATATATGCGATCGAACAACTTCGATTCCCGACGAATCGGCGTATCCGCCGAAGTTTCCTCGGGAGATACACGACGACAGATTATTTCGGACTGTGCAGAGCGCTTCTGCGCGCTTCGAAGAAAATAACACGATTAAACTTACTCCGATACGCGCCGTTGAGTCAGGCGATAATAATTGCGGCCGCGGAATAATTAGCTGTGCGCGAATGTCCATTTGCGTGAGATAAACCGACCTTAGCAGACTTTAATTTAGAGAAAGAGCCTAATGTACTTTCGAAATTGTTTTCACGATTGTACTAGTTTGCATTGAGGCCTTTTTTACTCCGGCTTCTCGTTGTAAGAATTCCCCATTATTGGACGAGTGCTTTAAATCGTTGTGGATCAAGGATATTCGCCTTCCAATTATACCAGTCATACAGTGTAATGTGTTTTAAAGTTATACTCTCACATTCGTGAGGTTCAATTATTTCGAGTACAATTGTATGTAAATGTGTAATATACATATATATATATGCGGTAGAAAATCTTTGAGGTTGTGTGTTATAATTTAGTTACTCGCGTTCAGTTAATATATATAGGTGATACTGCTCTTTGTAAATTTACAAAGGCAAAAAACGTAACAGAATCGTTGTTTTTAAACGTGCCGAAAATTTTCCCTCTGAATTTTTCAATGGTTCTGCTTTTTCACAAAGCCATTGGTCCACTATACAAATTGATCCTAAATTAAGCGATGCAGTAGCACATTACATTGTATGTTAGCGGTTTCTCGTTTTAATGAGGTCTATATTTTTAAAACAAAATTTTCCAAAGCGTTACATGAAAAGATACAATTCGCGATCTTTTTTATGTTGACATAATTTTTTTATTGTCTCTCCATTTTGTCGCGCTCGCGTTAATTTTAAGTCGAGTTTATGTCTCTACTCAGATAAATTTAGAGAATTGTATTCTCAAAATAATTCGTCAAATCTAGATTAAAGGTAAACCAAATTGTTAGCCGTAAACTGATCGCCACGCACCGCGGCCGGCAAAAGCCTCGAAATTCCAAGACATACCCGAATCGTACGCCAATGAGCGGTCGGATCGATCCCGAGTGCAATTTAATTTGCGAATTCCCCGCCGTTCCGCAGAAACAACGCGTTTCGCAGAAACGACGTGCCGTGGTTGACCCGCGACCGGCTCTTTGCGGCCCTAATGACTATCCCGCGGCGCGGCAAACGACAAAATCAATTCAGCGCTATGAAGGCGGGCGCCATGAAAAATCGCCGCCGGACTCGATTCGCACGCGATATGTATTTTCACATACGCGCATATGTACGTACGTACGTACGCGCGGTACGTGCATTCGCGATCGCCACACGAACGTGGAAACGCGCATGTCTGCGCCCGTAACATCGTACGAAGCGTATGCACGTGGTGCATCGTACCGAGTACCGATTGGCGTGACGGTACGTTGCATCCGCGGCACGCGCGCCGCGATACCGGGTGTCCGCCGAGAAGGGGCGGCTGATTGGCTCCGTCCAAAGCCGAGTAATTGGCCGGCTGTAATCGGTTTGCGTTTGATCGGGGATAGGAAAATGCTCTTTGAAAATTAGAGACCGATGAGTCGAGTAAATTCTATTTTACGCGCGTCATAAATCAATGGATCTGCAATAGAATCCTTCGCGAAATATCGCGAGGGTTTGGAAGAAAAAGAATGCTGAATGCATGATGAGACTACGTGTGATAATTCGGAAGAGTATAAACTATTTAAGGAACTTGTGTAACATGAGATCGTTCGTTATTATCCTGATTACTCAAGTCCAGCGAAACTTGGCAAGGATAAGTTTCCGGAAAGTCCCAAGTACGATTTCCGCGCAAACACGTGAAAATACAGCTGGAGCGTGAAAACGTCTGTGTCGCAAAATTAAATTCGAAACATTGCAAATTAAATCGTTTTCACGGTTCTTCGATGACGAAATGTACGACGGGATCACGGAGCTTTTGCTCAAATGAATATCGAATACTGTTTGCTAAATTAATGAACGAGCGAAAAACACAAGCTCGCGCTGGCGGGCATATTTCCGCGATGTTAAATATTTATTCAGGAAATTAACATCCGTCACAAATGCACGCGCATCGCAACGATACTATGGCGTGGCTCTGATAATTGTTTCGACTAGCATAAATATCATAATTTGTAAAATCCCGCTGATGATTAAACAGCATCCGCCGGCGTAGAACTGACGCTCTTTTCGACGGAGCCGGCGACGACGCGGCAGAGTTAAACACGTCATGCTGGTGTGATAACACTCAACTATTCGGCCTTTGGATAAGGAAGTGAAAAAACGCCCGTTATCGCCGTATGTATCGCGAACTGTTCTGTGGGGAGTGGAGCGGAATTATAACTGGCATAAGCGAATTGCAGCTGCCTGTGTGGGATACAAAAATCAATGTCTTTGAGATATTGAGCACATTCGAATGCATTTCAGGGGATTATATAAGAACAGATAGCGAGTGTTTTATTTTGCCTTAATTCTGACCTTCCTCGATCTATTTAATTTTTTAATTATCCATACTTAATTTTGAGTAGAAGAATTTTTTTAGCTGCGCCAACACTTTAACTTTTGCGATAACGTTATTGCTTACAATTACGTAAAGCAGAATTTTCTAAGAAAATTTCTTTTCCATACGTTTTAATTCGCATAGAACGTTTACATGTTCAGAGCAACGAAAAGGATTATTAATTATATTAACACGTTTTTATTTATAACATGTCCAATTAAGTTCTCGGACGTTCTCGACTGCTGTGATAAAGTTCCGATATAATTGCGAAAATTTTACTCTTCCAATCCCGAGTTACTGAGAAACGAAAAAAATAAATCGTTCTTCTTGCAGATCCTTTTGTTCTCTCTCGCTTTTGCCGTAAACGCAGCCGCGTCCTTCGAAAACCACCATGTCCGGTTACTCAATCGCGCGCGATCTCTGCATAATTTCGCGTGCGATTCTCACTGGAAGAACTGCATCCGCGTCTCTCGCAGCTATACGTACATCCGCGTGCATTTTCTCTGGAACCTTAATCATCGTCCATCATTTCCTATGACAAACAAGTCGGCCGCCGCGCCGATTATAGCGCGTGCGTGAATTTGTGCAGCGGGCTATAGATATCGTCATCCGCGGCGGGCATATTTCGCGTAACTCACGATTATGCAACCGCGATTATAAAACCGCGTGCCACTTTATTATGCACACTTTAGTGCATACGATAGTGATAGTTAACATTCGGGGAAACACACTTTGATAGAGATTATCGCCTGACTTTCGACATATATGCGGTACCACGCAGTTATTCAATATATTTCAAGACTGGATGGATCAGAGAAACGAAACAATTCGTTAATTGTAAGCTTACATTTTATCCGACAAATTCGGATATATTCATTATATATTAATCCAAGGAACTCTTACATAATTGCTCGAAAAAAAAGATCGAAGTGGAAATATTTCAGCTTCATAAAGTTTACTTACAGTTATCAATCAATGAGCACATTTGACAAAAATTTTTATAAGATTTATGAAGTGTTTAAAGTTATTTTGCTTTTAAATTATGATAATGAATTGATAGACATTGAGCTTATTTGTACCGTCTTTGAAATTTTTGTCGATCTGTCTCATTGAGTGCGTACGGAATGGAATGTTTGTTTGCCTTATCGAAAGCACTACTCCTTTATACCTATGGGGGTCCCGGGTAACCGGTGCACGTCATTGTTTGATGTAGTTGCGGTGGTGTCACAGGTCTGGAACGGGTAGCGGAGGAGTTGATGGGCCGTAGGAGATGGAAGCAATACCAGGACACCCTGTACAGCGGCACCCGCAGCAGCGAATCACAGCCCCACCATCGGCTTTACCCGGCGTTGTCGTCGTCCTGCAACCCAATACCCGGGAGCCTGGACCAGATTGGGCCGCAGCTGCATCAACCGGCACCCACGTCGTTGCCGTCGACGGTGCTGACGACGGCGACGACCACGACGACGACGACGACGCTCGCGACCGGCGTGGTGAAGCAGGAGAGTCTGCAGAGGCATCATCTGCAGAACCATCACCATTTACCCACGCCGGTTCAGGACCATCTACAACAGCAGGAGGATTCGCGCCGTCTGAGGCCGGGCGACGTCAAGAGCGAGGCCGCCGACGAGGAGCCCACAGACGGTGCCGCGCGGGAAGACACCTCGACGAGGACGACGGACACGGCGACGTCGACGACGGCGACGGCGACGGCGGAAGTAGCGACAACGACGGCAACGGCGACGACCATCGGCATCGCGACGACCACGTCGACAACGACAACGGCGACCGGCACGACGACGATAGCGACGAGACGGCGACGTGGACGCCGGCAAAACGACGGGGAGGACGTCGACGGGGAGGAGGAGGGCGACGAGAACGACGAGGAGACGGGACGGGGCCAGAACGAGGCGGAGAAACGGCTCAAGCTCGACGAGGACGCCGACAGGTCGGCGGTCAGCCCTCTCAGAACGGAGAACGATCGTGCGACTCGGGATCATCCGACTGCCAACGCTACCGACACGGAAGGGACCAAGGTTGGTGTACATCTGTCATGTATAATAATAACTTAAAGATATATTATTTGTAAAACAATAAAATAGTCTTTCTAAAGAGATTATTGAACTAAATGTCGCAAGGAAATAACGAAATTCATTTTAAATCGCTAAAGGTTAGACAGCAATTTGAAAATTCTGTCACGCACATTCTTTAGTCGGATTTTCTTCACTTTATTTATTTGCTCATTTTCAGGAACGAACGGAGGAAATCGCGTTGGAGCGGGCACCGGTAACGCAGGGCTTACTGAGGGTAAAGAAAGAGGAGGAGCTGCAGGAGGTACCGGGTTCTGGTGGCGGCACCACGATACTGACGACGCCGGCGACGGACTCGGAAGGGACCAGGTCGGGGCTGTTATGCCGCGACGGGAACGCGGCCGCGACAAGCGTCGCGACGCCCTTTCTCCTTGGAAGACGCACGAGCCCGCCGCCGGAGGACTGGAAGCCGCTCGACAAGTGTTACTTCTGCCTCGACGGCAAGCTACCCCACGACGACCAGCCGCCCCTTGTAAGTACCCGCCGGCGAGTCTGCCGAGTGTGAGGTTGCGCATGGCTGAGCATCGACCTCGTCCTTCATTGCTAATTTTGTGTAGAGATTATTCGCGAAGGGAATATACCGGAATAAGTAGTCGAACGAACGGGAAATAAGTAATCTTTCCTCGCGCGAAATTCGGATCCCTGAGATTCTGTGCGACCCCCCGCGACGAACGTTTTGATTGACTCGGAATATATCCCGATGGCCTTGTCGATGATCTATCGAAACGGTATTACATAGATGAATCGGTGCACACTAATGCTGCTCGTTTCGCCTGCAATCCGCTTACGCAATCACGTTACATCGGAATCTCGTTTCCGTCTCGTTCCGTGCATCTGTTGTGCCGCGAGCGCGAACTCGAGTCTGATCTAGCGCCTTTTTGCCACTTTTGATTAAGTCGAGCGTACTTCGTACTTTGGCGCCGGCCGTACCACCGTCGCGCACCACCGCCCAGCCTTTCAGCTTTGATCACTTTGACGCGCCCATCAAAAATTCACGAGGACTCGCGAAGGCGGCGGTCGCCTTACGAGAAATGAATTCGATCAGAATTCGATCCCGCCGCATCGCGTCTTCTCGCGGATCTCAACCTCCCCACGGTGCCCTTTCTGCCGTCCGATCAATCCGCCCGGCTACTCACAGTCGGGCAAGTCCTTCTCGCGCGAGCCGGGATGACACGTTTCTCCGTGTTGTGCCCCGCAGAGCCCGCAGAGCGACAGTAGCAGCAGCTCGCGATCGGCGGAGTCACCGGCGTCGGTCCAGGTGGACCCGATGGCGGCGTCCGTGGTCGCCGCCGCTCTCAGCGGCACTTACCCCACCTTGCTGCCCCAGTGGTGCTTACCGCCGAGGGAGGCGCCCCTCGTTGGGGTGCAGACCCATCAGGACAGCGCCGCGGCGGCCGATCAACCGCTCGATCTCTCGGCCAAACCCAGAAATTCTCAGGTAAGTGCGAGATCGCTCTCATTCTGCTGCGCAAAAGAAAAAAACGCGACGGTCTTTTCTCAGCCTCGTCACAATATTCTCGCTACGGCTCGTACGAATTGTTTATTTATTCGAACACTGAATTTCGCGACATGTATACGTCGCGCGATTTTCCAAATGTCTGACGAAGGATCAAATCATAATGAGCGAAGACGATTGTATAAACGATGCGCAAATTATCCGTAACTATTATTCATACTTTTTAGTGTGGGCTGTCACGATACGATCATTATTTACGCGACGATCGCTACGTCATATATTGCTGAACAATAATTCCTTTCACATAGTGTATTATTAGTGCTTCCCAGTCATGTTATTAAGTGACTAACGCTGACGTCTAAGTAACTAGGCTGTATGCTTGCGTAATGTTAGTTATTTATTTAGTTTATTTAAGTCACTTTCGATGGTTTTTTTTACTAATACTATTATCTATTTGTTTGTTCAGGACAACAACATATCTCTATTGGAGCAACAGAAAATACCTCTGAGAATGCCGACAGGCATCGATCCCAAGACTATCCTCAAGTAAGTACTCTTAATATTTCCCTAATCTAATAGAATAACATAGAAAAAAATTCTTACTAACAATAAGTGACGATTGATTTATGTATTAGTAATAAATAATAAATCAATTAACGCGATACGTCACATGATATTCTTAATTTAAATTATAAATAATATATGTTATTTATGAAAGTATATACACAGGTATTTGATTCGTCAATATGATAAATATAAAATATGTTAAAATTCAAATGAAAAACATTATTCATAAAGCAGTTCTAATCGAATGGCTATACACAAGAATAAAAGCTGAAACAAGTTGGAAAGATCCCAATTGTGCATAAATTTTATACCTTCCATTCAAACATTTTATTTAATTTTTATAAAAATAGTTTTTTTTTCTGTTATTAATAAACTTAATACGATATGTTAACGTTAAAATATTAAAATACGATAAATGCATAATAACTATTCCAACTCTGTATTTAAAGTGATAAGAGCTAAAAGTGATAAGGCTCTCTCTAAAGGTGCGCATTAGAATGAAAATGAAAAAAAGCCAGATGGAAATAACAAGCCTGAACTCGTGCGAATATTTGGCTTTGACGAGGGAGCGTTCTTTCCCACACACGTTGGAAAATCATCGTTTGTCAACGGCAATGAGGCATCGTTTCGGCGTTATCACGCAACTCGCTTTGCACCTCGAGGCGAGTCACCGATACGAATATGCATTCCGTATGCGAGTGTGGGGAGGGGGGGATAAAAAAAGAATACGACCCGCGATCGCATTCCGTAGCGAACGTTCTTCGTGATCGAGTGGCCGTTTAAGCCTCGGGCCGGGCGGGCGTTTCGATAAGGCGTCGATTAAAACACCGCCGGCGAACGACTTTCGAAAATCGCGAAACTGACAGCCAGTCGATCCGGAATGCCGTCGCAATTAGGTGCCAATCACGCGGCCGGGCATAACCGTGATTTATCTCCCTCGTAAAGACGTCATGCGCGACAACGGCAGAGGGGAATCGTATCGTTCCGCTCGACACTGGTGCGGGCTAATCGAGTTCGCGGTCGTGTGCTGCATTTTCGGATTTATCCGGGACAAATATGCGGAATAAAATCGTCAATTGGTGTGATATAACTAAAATCTTTAAAGATCCTTTGTCTTACTCGGTTTGTGTATGAAGCCAATATTAAGTGTCAGATTTTTTATCTATTTATAATCACAAAGTTATCACATTTCAATTTTATGAAAAAAAAAAATAAATTCGTCGTTAGCATACCGTCGAAATTATTAAATAATTTTCTGTTGTACTGCGTGCAATTCATAATTGTCTCTGTAATTCACAATTGTAGTAAAAGGTAAACAGGATTGTAGATAAAGAGCTGCGGTTATCAGAACCTACGATCGCGGCGTAGCTCAAGTTCGCTAGGTGAACTTGGAGGTTCTATTGAGTCGATCGTAATAATACTGTTGTGAACATTCGATTATCCTAGACGCGTTAGAGATGTATGCCGTATTCTCTGGAGGGAAGATAACAACACTTTAAAATTAATACGGACACAAACACACAAAAGTATTATTATAAAATTTATAAATTTACTAGTAATCTAAAATTAATGAATCGTGTTTTTCCAATGATTTGATGATAACTACATTTAAAACAAGATGTCCGTTTAATTAAATTATTCGATGTCGTGAACAATTCTGAATTTTTTGCACGGTGCGATGTTTTCTTCGCGATTCTCGACTATCATGCTGCTACAGTGGAAGGATGATAATTTCAATGGCTTGCGAAAAATTTATGCGTCGGATAAATAAAGTCGTATTACTGAGACATCCATTCGCATTGCTCTAACTTAAAAAATAATTACTAATCTTGCGATTGATCTGCTAGAATTTCATATCTTTTCTATATTGGACTGAAATGTCACGTAATGTTATCATTCATAACAATGAGCTTCTAAAAAATAAATTGATAATCAATTATTTGATATCACAGCAAATTACACATCTTACGAAAAGAATTTAATATTATATTTAACAATCTTCGTTACATTTAATCTTTGCTTTGTTACATTTAATTATTTTTTTTTGTTATTTTTATGAAAATTTAATTGAATTATAGGAAAATTAAATAACTTTGTAATTTTAACATTTGTGTTCTTTTAATTTTTTAATTGAGTAGACAGAAGGGAATAAACGGATCCACAGAATATTTATTCTAGACTGTATCATATATATTACTATAAAGGATGTGGAAAATGTGTTGGAAAATAATTTACTGCAAATTACAATTACTTTACGAAATATGATGTTTTAAGTTTACAAAGATATTTCCTTTTTTCATCGCAAAGAAATGTAATATATTTTTTCCTGTGACGTAAAGAGAATAATACGTTCTTTGATTAAACTGTCACAACTAGGCAGGTCGCTTATTGCATGGTTCTCACACGTAAATGTTTAATGTATCGTACTACAGTGTTTTAAACTGTACGAAAAAATTTCGTTGTAGTACGTTTGTGCGATCGCGGTAAGCAGCCCGGTATCCTCCAAACCGTAATAATACCGACGAGTTGCTTGAACTTTGCAACCCTTTGAGCTTTAAACTGCTATACGTCTGCGGTACGTACCTCGATAAATATTTAAGCAGTCCGTTTCGCAGAATCGATGCAACTCGGTTGTGGTCTCGAATACGAAACATGATGGAGCAAATTTCGTAAACCTATCCACGCGCCTAAATAAAATGACAACAAAGGGAAAAGTTTTATACATATTTTATTTCGCTTCTCTACTCATGAAAACATTACGAAAGGGATTAATTATGGAAATATGATATTAATTCTCTTTCGCGACTTTCTACGTGTCAAAATTTAGGAAATCCTGGTAACGGACAAATATGAAATTTAGTGAAGTTTGAATTTTATCTTGAAAGATTGAACGTTGTTCCAATTTTCTTGATCATTATTAAATTTATGGAAAAGTACGTGAGGTGTGTCGTATCGATTGACAAAAATTTAATTTTTACCTCGGACAGGCAAAAACCTTTCCACCGATCGTGATGTCGGACAATTTTTATCTTTGTTGCACGATTCGCGAAAAATGGAAAATATCGGTAGCCCGAGCGAATCGAGCATGCCAGATCGTTGGAGGCGTACGTTGCCCTCATGTTTTCGCTGTTTTCCCCCGCGGAACATTTTGCGCGTCAAATTTTTATCATCGTCTATTATTAGTTCACCGTAATCTGCACCTCATGACATATCGAAGATGCGAGAGTACCTCGTGTATGTCGCGGCGTGTAATGAAGAAGCGTAAAGGGGAGACTGTGGAATGTGGAGAAAGAGAGAGGGCGCGAAGAAGTAGGATAGAGAACGAGTGAGAGAAGAGGGAAGAAAGCTCGAAGGGGGAGAGAAAAGAAAGAGGCGAGAGAGAAGTTCGCGCCGACGCATACGCGACTGCGTAATTAGCGATAAGATAGGACCGCCGACGAAACCGTTGAGTCGAAATTAAAGCCTAATGTAAACTAGAGCGCGAATGTTTTGATTTTCACGTGGGTATCTAAAGCTTGAGCTTAACAGGTCTGAGGGTTTAAATTTTGGAACTATATTGTACTAAAAAATGTACAACAATTACGTGATAGTGCTCGCAAATGTGATGAAAGACGATTAGAATAATTAATTACATTTGTCATTTTTCTGAAGAGAGATTCAAATATTTGAGAGTTGTGAGAGAAAAGATGCAAGCTTATAAAATTTTCGACGAAAATAAATTCACATGAAAAATTGCATGAAAAATCCTTATACGAAGGAAATTGCCGGTAATTTGGAGTGTTCTGCGTTCTTGGCCATGAATTGTTACAATCAAGACATATTTCCTGCAATTCATTAGATGAATAAAGGAATAAAGGAAGATGTAAGTCAATTTTGCTCGTATTTTTTCTTACATTTTTCTTTACCGATTCTGTAACAGTTTATAGATTATATATAGCGTTTCAAAGTTTAAAATCCATATATTTTAGAGATATCAATTATGAAGGTATTTACTTCTTTTTTATACTCGTCGGTTTGTAATAAATGTATCATATAAGAACTTAATTACTATTTTAAATACAAATACGTACAATTTTCAAGTAACGCGAAAATTGCGTAGGTTGTTAGGTCATTAATACCGCAGCTATAACAGCTATGCCTATTAAATCCATGCGATCTAGGCACGTCAGGTTTTTTTATTTCACTTTGGTGCTATAAAGTAGGCAAGGTACTTAACGTTTGTCTATAAACTGACATTGCGTAACTAGACTAGTTTGATTAATTTCATACTTTTCTTTAAGCACTACAATTTATATTGTTATGGCGCGAATTTTGTCTAAATTTTTTTTTATATAACTGATCCGTTCCATCTACAGAGCTAAAGTAAAATTTGTTGCGTTAAATATTAACAAATTGAACTGAATCAGACAAAGCTTTTTATTATTGTAATTATTTTAAATATCTTTTACATATTTTTTATGTATATATTAATTTTTATTAATGAATATTTCGTATTTTTGTTTTATATTCTAAAAGCATATCAGTGATATAAATATTAAATTTCTTGATGATTTAATATAAGACATACGGATTGATTGATTAGATTTAAAAACGTGTCTTCTCATGGCGAGTAACGACGAAGAAACGAAATTAGACGTACAGTTCGCACTTGCGCGTCCGCGATACTGAAAAATAGGCGAGCTGCAATAAAACCAGACACCGGGTACTGAAGTAAAACCGGTTCGTAGAAGGCTTTGGAGAAGGTTCGCTGGCCAAAGAGATATTGACGCGGCTGCGAAGGACAAGATTACGACTATCTGGTTCGCGATTGCGTGAGCCTTGTGATTTACGCGAGAATTTAACTAAACCGAACCATCCAGTTTGATCGTGGGACCTTGGTTTCCGGCATCTGTAAATATGTCGATGGCGTTGAGGATGTCGCTAGTTTAATGTTTGCTTTTTAGCGGCTGCATTGCTAAAGATTTCTCACGTGTTCGAGAAATTTTACATTGTGTTGCACAGAGAGATAAATCTGTTTCTTAAGTTAAGGAATTTGTTCTTGACACAAATTGCTGTGTTACATTGAAAGTATAATGCGCGATACAACGTTTCTGCTGCGGAGGTGTGCGATAAGAAGTCCGCGGCGGCGCGCCGCGGCGCGAGGGTACGCGCTGTTTTTACGGAAATACGCCGTAGTAGTCGATGATAAAGTCTAAATTCCTTGCGGTTAGATACGCGTACCGCGTCGTTTTATTTGGCGGACGCAAAATACCGTTCTCTCTTCGAAATTACGCGACGACATTACTCGAGGAACGTTGAACCTGAAACGCACATGGAAACGCGCGCGCGTCGACCGAGTTTCCGACGGCGAGTTGGAATACGTATATAGCCGCGTATATCGTCGCGTGAAACCGCAGACGAGTCGACAAACAAAAATCGCAGATAAATCAGCGCCGGTCGATGACTACTGACGTAGCGGGACCTATCCGGGAGGCCAACGTCGGACGAAATGCACTTTTATCAGCCGGCACAGGTCGACGAACTTGCAAAAAGGGGGGCTCCGCACGGTGCGAGCGGGGGTGGGACGGCGAAGCTCGCGATGATTTCTTACGCCTAATCTTATCGTTGCGCTCCGTGACAAATTACACCCGACCCGATATCCATCGCCTTCGTGCCACGTCGCGTTCTTTTATGCGAGCGCGAAATATTACCGGATATGCACTCGCACCGAAAATTCTTCTAACTCTTCGCGTTTATTTAGCGCAAAAGATGATTAGATGTAAACAACAATCAGCTTTTTGAATGATCGAGAAAATTTATTGTTGCATAAAAATATCTAGGAAACTTTTTGTTGCTTTTTATAAATTTTTTTGACACTGTCTCTAAATTTTTAAAATCTTAATTAAAAATCATGTTTGCATAATTGTTATAGATATCCATATTCAAAGATGTTATACACTCTGGATTAATATTATTAGTTTAATTGTTTATCTTCTTTTTAATGTCCGATGGACAATAAAACGAGCTCTATTTTTATACAAAGAACAAAGATGTCATGTTATGAATGTGTTACGTCATTTGTCACTTTAGAATAATTTGCAACAAAGTTGCTGCCCTGGGTACCGATTTTGTAACTCTTAACAACAGTGTCGGTATCGTTATACTGTCGTTGCGCAGATATTTCGTACGGTAAAAAAGCTGCGCAACGAGAACATAACGATACCGAATTGTCGTTAAGAGTTACAGAATCGGGATACTGCAGATGTAATGTGTTACAGAAAATGTGACGATGTACCGATACGAAAATTTATGATATTACTTATGCAATAAAAAGAAAATTCTAGCGAACAGATTATTCATACGCGACTTCTGCCTTCTGGCAATTTAACCGGTGTTTTAATTTTCATCTTACAATTAGCATAAATAAATCTCGTTCATATTATCGCGCTGCGAAATGACATTTATGCAAATGAATTGCGTATACATTGAAGAAGCACATAAAACGCACTCGTGTGACGCGCTTTTTTTTTTCTGGCCAGAAATCGATTACGCGCAATACGCGAAATTGCCGAGTTAACGCGTTTTTCAGTCTGTTCGTTTGAAAAACTTAATTTGCATGGCTCGATGTGCCTCGAAGCCAGGATCAAAGCTGTACGGATTCGCAATTCGCCATTGGCACGACGTCAAACACGTGCAGGCGTCGGGACGGCCACGTGGCTATTTGACGCGGATCGCCTCCCGCGTTAGTCTAGGAAACGTGGCTACACGTGAGCTTGCATCGCGAGAAATGGTGAATAATCTGCGACTTTGTATCGCATATATATGGAACTTGAGTATCGAACGCTTCTATTGGCCAATCAATTATCAAACCACACAGTCTCTTGCTGCTGACAATGTTTGCCGTTTGAATAGTTCATATTCAGCGCAGATTGCGTCTCAACTAGATCTTTTCTTCTTTCATAACAATTTTTTTCCTCTTTCTTTAAAGAGAATACAAACGGATTCTCAGCGAAGTATTTTATTGTACTTTTTTTATACCGATAACAGAGGAAATCGGAAGAAAACAGAAAACGTGAACTGCTTTAAATGATATTGATTTTTCCTCCAGGGAAACATTATTTTTTAATATCATTCCCCTGTTTACATGCGCAGTTTCGGAAACTGAAATTAATTCGCTGACATTAGTATACGACAGAATAAACGAGATCTCCGTTATGATGACTGACGGATAGTTACGGAAGCTGTCTTAGGAGTCGGGACAGCGAAATGGAAAACTCGAGGGGCGCAAAAATAAGTTTTCCTATGACAAAATGCAATTGACAAGCAACGTGAATTCCAACGAATTGTTTCCGTTACGTGACGTTTCTCAATACTTTATAGACATTTGTAGTACAACGGTGGAAGGCTCCCGGAGACGCGATATTGCGAGCTCGGCTCGTCGAGCATTCATTTGGAGCTCATTTCCATATACCTATATATGCTATCCCGAAATTACGTTTCGAACGTCCCCCGCGTATATTGCAGGCAAAAACACACCATCAGCTGGCCTCGATATAACGTTGATTAATGCTGTTTCAGCTCGTGTTACCGCGCGAAACCGCGAATGACCGGACCGGTTGCGACCGCGGCGGCGGCGGCGGCGGCGGCGGCTGCGGCAGGCGGTGGTGTTCCAGTGGTGGGTGCCGGGGGCGGCAGGAGGACTTACACCGAGGAGGAGCTGCAGGCCGCCCTCAGGGACATCCAGAGCGGCAAGCTCGGCACGCGGAGGGCGGCGGTCATCTACGGGATACCGCGTAGCACTCTGCGCAACAAGGTCTACAAGCTCGCGATGGAGCGCGAAAGGGACGCGTCCCTGACTAGCACCCATTCACACCCTCACGAGCCCGGCGCCCCAGCCACCACCACCACCACCATCACCACCACCACCACCACCACTACTACTACTACAACACCAAATACGACCCAAAACGCCTCCGCGACCACTCCGCCCCCGCAAGTGGACGAGGTAGGTTTTGGGGACAGACAACGGAAGATAGCTAGAGATCTAGAAAGACGAGAGAGAAAGAAAGAGAGAAGGAAAGAAAGTGAAGAGCGAGAGAGTGGGCGAGATGCAGAGAGCGGGGAGTGGAAACGTGCCACCGACACGTGCCGAAGTCTCGTCGGTCTTTCACGCGTGTCGGGTAGAAAAGCCGAGGATGCAAATTGGCATAGACAGCGACTGGGGGAATCTCGTGAGGGAATGATGCGACGAGCCGAAGCGACGCGCGAAGATGCTCCATCGTGTATCTTCTTTTATCTCCGGAGTTTCCGTTGTATTCCGATGTCCGATGTTTCTCATCCGGAAACGAGTCGATGGCGCGATAAAGTTTCGGAGTTGCTTCGTTGACTCGTTTCAAATAATACGGAATATCGATGTTGATATCGTCGCGTACTTCGTGTTCGCGATTCACTACGAGTGCCTGATGATTTCTAACGTAGTTGCTTATATATTATTTGTGTAAATACATATTGGATTATTGGCAATATAATTACAAGAAAAATATATGATAAAAGCATCGAGAAGAAGTAAATTAGGCTTTTCATCCGATACATCACGAAACAGACCATAATATCTGTACGTAATATCTGCCGATTATTATATATCACTAAACATGAAAAGAAATATAAGATATATAGATAGGAGGTATCAGATTAAATTTTCGTTAAAAAAGTGATATCAGACTGATTAACGATTTTATAAATGAAACTATAACAATTATTTGCCTTTAGACATATTGCGATAATGTGATTATAAATATCTATGAGTTAAGCTTTGTATAAGTTTGCACAATATGTCGATTATTAAAAAAAAAAATGTCCTTAAAAATATCAATTCAGAAAAGAAATGACGATATAAAGAAAGGTTATCTTAGATATCTCAGAAATATAAAATTACAATTACGATAATTTCCAAAGTCATTTATCAACGTTATAGAATATTGTCAGGCGCTCGAGAGATCACATACGATATCTTCCAACTTAAATCGTTCGCGTGCGAGTAATAAGTCTTCATGATTTACGCGGCAAAATAGGCCGATTACCATGCAGAGAAACGTGGATGGGGGAAGGGTCGGGGGGAGGGGGGGAGAAACCGAACGATGCACGAGGGAAATCTCGTCAGGAAAATTCGCGAATATATACCGTTCATTTGTACCTAAGTGTGGTTTTGGTTAGGAAGAACGAATGAAGCTTCCCCAAAACATACCTCTGGCACGGCGATCGTGGATCTCGCGTGGACCGGAATGTGTCTTGCATCGCTAAACGATACGCTTATAGTCGCCCAATTCGGACTCGGTCGATCCGGCAATTTCTGTGATCGTAATTTGATTTAGTCTAAAAGTAGTTTTATTACGAGTTATCATTACATTAGTTCCAAATTTCTGTAAAAAAAAAAAAATAACTCTGCGCTTAATATATAAAGTAATATATAACTTTTATTTAAAAAGAAAAGGAAGCTTATTAAATCAAGTTTTAAATATAGATAATGTGAATATTATACATTTATATTTTGAAGCACTTTATCTGTTTTACTTGAAGTTTTATGCTTTCGAGGATATTCTTAAATTTACAAAATTCTTAAAAGAAAAAGAGAAAATTCTTTTTTAATGTCCCATTCGTGGACCAATTAAACAGAGAAAGGTTCGACCGAGTGCGAGGAATGTCAACTGTGCGTTTGTTCGGTGACCTCACGCTGAAGGAAAGAAACGATGGTCTACGCGGCTCCGCACCGGTCGCCGTGGTGCTCCGTAGTGTCCAGTGTTTTTTTGCATGGGCTGTTTAACTTTTTTTATCTCACTATTTGTAGTTTAACACACGGCAACTTGGTGTCCGCGAGGTTGCAAGAATCGAGGTAAGTTTTTGGGAAGGTCGTGTCGTGACGAAAGGAGGATTTGTCGAGGGCTCCGAGAGCTCTCTTTCGTTCTTACCACGGGTGCTTATAGTCGCGCCACGGAATTCATGAATGTATACGCTTCTGGACCTCGACACTCTGCATCCTCGATGTGCCGCGCATATAATCCCCCGCATAGAGACGTCCAATCAAATAGTTGTTTTGAAATGGACGGATCACGGTTTCAGTGTGAACGCGCGCCGCCATCCGTGAAACAGTCGCGCGATTGAAGATTACGGCAGATTAAACGCGGTGGTCCGATTTAATCCTCATTACCTGATAGTGTCTTTTGCCTTGATTCTCGATTCTCGATTTGATCGCGATTAATTTTCGCTTAGCGCGTGTAGAACCGGGAATCGATCGTATCTAAATAATCGAAACTACCGATATTAAAATGTGTAAAAATTTTCGCTTTATTTCAGAAAAGTATATTCAAAAGTTTTCAATTCTATTTGGAATTTAAAATAATGTTTTTATCGAAATATTGAGCAAAGTTGAAAAACACTATCATTTTGTGAGATTAAACTCAAGGTGTGTAATATACGAATCGTCTCCTTGATCGAGAAAATATTCTGTGTTTTAACCGTATGGTACTTTTCTAAAAATTGCAACTGCATCGCACGGTCTGTTAGTTGTGTAATAATAGTCGCTACTTAAAATCGTCTGCCGACTGAACTTCGCCTCAGCATGAACACTCAAGAGGCGCTATTTTACGGTACAACTTGCCGAGCCGGCAAGCACGGTCTATGCACGAGAACGGTTAAAGTCTTATTTTTCGTGCCTGCATTTCGTGCGATCGCGCACCGCGCGCGTTTAGTAGTATATACGTAGCAACCATCATAGAAGACTGTTGCTTCACTTTTAGTGCAATGCATGCGCCTTAAACGAGTCCCGAGGGGTATCTCTGCACTTGAATTCCGGCGTATCTCGTCGAAACGCACGCCGAAGATAAGCTTTTCTCTCTACACGCGAATTCCGCCCTCTTTTCCCTCCATCGAGGATTAGCGGGGCGAGAGGTAGTCGCGATTATCGTGCCGGGCGACTGCTCAGAGCATCGCTAGAACGTTTTTTTTTGTTTCCCGTAAAACACTTGCCGCTGCTTTGGAAAATACCACTTATTGATTAGCAGCTCTCCTGCATGGCGCTTGGCTATTTCACATTCGATGGAGATATATGTACCGAGTGGTTTGTGTAAAGTGACTCAATTGAATATCTTGCAATAAGTATTGAATAAAGAAAGAAAAAATAATGGGTATTTTCAGTTTCATCTCCTTTGCACTTGTTTTTTTTATATAATATATAAAATAAACTAAATGTCAAAGTTCGTAAAGAAGCTTTATTAAAGCGCGACATTTTCAAGATTCTTAAAAAAAAAACTGAGCGCGTGATTTCCTTTACATAAAATCTGTCTGCGCAACGTTCTCTCAAAAAGCTACAGCACCTTTTCCTGCATTACGTTCTTCACCACATTTTTTTTTAAATATGCAATGCGGTCACTTTACGGGAAACACTTTGTATATATTTACATGGACAATTGACACCTACACACGATACAAATACACGTACACTCCAGACACGTACCTCTCGATGAAGCACTCTCGAACAAGAAGTTGTCATTTACGAGCAGTAATGGTTGCTTAATGACTATCGAATGATGAGAAGAGCAACGCTTCTATTCACGTCTCCGGAGACGAAGTGGAAGCTTCTACTTTTACTTTCCTCGAGAGGACAACTTGACTGTTATCTGCAATTTAGATGCTCTTTTGTGAACGCGGAGTATGCAGAAAACGCTAGAAGAGATATTTTTAACAGGTGGACGACAAAGAATTGTCCGGTGCGGAAGAGGAGAAGGAAGTCGAGAAGGCCCTGCTGAAACCTCTGCTCTCGTTGGAGGATCTCGTAAGGTTTTCCACGCTCGAGGGTGCCGGCGGTGATTCCCTCAGAAACTTGCTGCAACGGGGACACGAGACAGCCGAATGGCCGGGACTGGAACACGCGAACATCGGTCCCTACATTCAAAAGATGTTGGCTGCCGCTGCGCCAATAGGTAAAATTAATCGTCTAAATTCCTTGTGATATTATAAAATATCGAAAATAGCTTAAAACCTACTTTGTCACTTAAGGAGTTTATTTATCCCTTATTTTTATCAAAGAATTGCAGTTTTGATTGCAATTGAATTCCTAGTAAATTTTTATATTTCTAAAATTCAATGCAAAATTAATTTTTTAAATTTAATATACACAAAGTTAGGTTGTTATAAAATGACATAGTATATTAGTATAATTTGTTGATATTCGGGATTTGGGTCATTCCCAATAAGTTTATTTTGTCCACGGACTGTGACCAATCAATCTGCGTCAAGAGAGGAAAGCCGAAAAGTGTATTACGCCACAATAGGACTTCTCGAATCGATAGAAGCCAGGCCCTAGTTAATCAGCTCGCCGATATTTTGTTCTGCCTTTGAAGACAGCAATTTAATTTGAATAGCTCACATCTGTATTTGAAATTCTGACGAATACCGGAGGAAAAATAAAACGTTAATGCAGAGATAATCGCGATTTTGGTTAAAGTCATCATTAAATCTGTATTAAATTATCTCCATATTATTTGAAATGTTTAAAAATATTTTGTATAAGCGTGTATTTGTTACTGTATAATATTTAAAAAGGCACAAAATTTAATAAATATTTGTATTCAATACAAAAAGAAACTTAAATTAAAATTAGAATCGTGTATGAAAGTTTCATTAATATTACTTATGTCTCATCACTAAGATAATCTTGCAAAGTCTTATTAGTTAAGTAACATTACAATGCATTTGTCAATATCGCACAATATCGATAGATGTTTATGAACTCTCTACTATAAACATTGTAATAATAACGTAGGCGCATTGGATACGCGAGACTATCGCATACCCGAAGTGATGAGGAAGCTGATGAGCGAGGACAAGAGGCTGAACAAGAACGTGAACGGTGACCAGTCCCAGGCGCATCACCATCAGCACCATCCTCTTGCCGCGCATCAGCAGACGCAGCAGCAGCGCGGGCCCATGACGAACGACGACTTCAATCCCAACATCGAGGAAGAGGCCAGCGACAGCGCTCAGGGCAGAGCGATATTGAAGATTCCGTCCTACAAGCCCGCCAGCACGCCGGGCTGTTCCAGCAAGAACGGCGAGCCGACTTCCGCCGCGTTCGCCCAGAGCTTCGCGGCTGCCGCCTCGAGTCCGGGCCTCCTGGAGCGAGCTAGTCCAGCGTTCTCCGGCACCAGCAGCCCCACGAATTCGTTGGTGGGCAAAGCGGTGGCCGTCAATTTCCGCGACGTCATCGCCAAGAGCATCAGCGTCAAGTTCCAAGAGGGCCAAACGCCCAGCGCGGCCGGCATACCGGGCTGCCAATCGGCCGGCGTGCCATCGCAGCAGGCCATGATGACAGACCCGAGTCCGTTCAAGAGGGGTCGTTACACACCTCCGCAGCCGCCGCAGCAACAGCAACAGCAGTCGCCGGCGCAGCAATCCAAGCAGCAGTCGCAGGACGCGAACAAAGCGAAGCCGGGCACCGGCGGCAAGGGCACCAGACCTAAGCGCGGCAAATACAGAAACTACGACAGGGACAGCCTCGTCGAGGCGGTACGCGCGGTTCAGCGCGGCGAGATGAGCGTGCATCGCGCTGGCAGCTTTTACGGAGTTCCGCACTCCACCCTTGAGTACAAAGTCAAGGAGCGGCATCTCATGAGGCCGCGCAAGAGGCAAGTCGATTGAATTGTTTTAATAAAAGATTTTTTTTCGTTTTTCTTCTTTTTGTATCGTTCATGAACGACATGCTGTCTGCGTGATAAATCATGATCATCTTAAAATTATCGGAATATTTCTTTAACCACATATCGCGAATTATTGTAAAAAAAATATGTATTATAATATTAAGAGCTAAGAGTTTTTATCTGAGCTTGCCTTTATTTTTCTCGCAGGGACCAGAAGCAACCGGACGACAAGTCGAAGGAGACCGCGACGACGGCGGCGGCGGCGGCGGCGGCCGCGGCGATGCGGCCGGGCACTGCTGGCGTCGACAAGAAGCCACAGTTGAAGCCGCAGAAACCGTTCACGCCGCCCGGCGGTATACCCGGTCCGAATGGACTGAAAATGCCTCCGTTCATGGAGGGCATGCCCCACCTGCCGTTCGCACCCTTCAACTTCTGGAACCCGACGCCCTTCATGCCCTCCCCCTTCATGAGTGGCGCGCCGAACGTGCCGATCCTTTCGGAACAATATTTCGCGTCGCAGAGAATGCGCGGACTGCAGGAGCAACAACGAAACGCCACGATGGTACAGCAGCAGCAGCAGCACCAGCAACGAGACCGAGACCGAGACGGGGTTGGCGTATCCGGATCGGCAGACGCGGCCGGAACTTCGAACTCTCGAAGCGCTTCGATGGCGAAGGCGCCGCGCGACATGGTGGAGAGCGTCTACGACGGGCCCGGGGCGAACGGCAGTTTCCTGGACAATCTGATCAGGTCGAGCCTTGAGACAGGCATTCCAAGGGACCAGCGAGCGATAACGGAGGCGAGGAACCAGCAGTCGTCGTCGCAACATCCGGAAACGATGAGCAGCAAGACTCTGATCGATCAGCTCTGCAGAAATTCGAGGAGAACCCCGCTGCCGCGGATGGCGCAAGACAGTAGCGAGGACGAGAGTTATCGAGGACCAACGGGCAGGATGGTGCCAGAGAGACCGGAGCGCGTGCCCACGGTCGATCTCAGCCCCTCACCGTCGGAGAGACGCACGGAGGACGGCAGCGATCGGCTGACGTCACCGCCGACGCCTCTGTCCATCTCCCGGGCGGGTAGCAGGGACGAGGACAGCACCCGTGACTCGAGGATCGATCGCAGTAGCAGAGAGCGCGAGGTTCACAACGGCGGCCAGGAGGATCGCGACCGGAAGCAGCCTCTGAGCCTGCAGCAGCAGCAATCACAGCTGAATCACTACCCGGACTTACACAACCTCTACGCCGCGTCAACTGACAAAAAAAGTGCCTGTGATAGTAAGCTTATAGTAGATCATTCGAGCCAGAAGACTCAGCCGCAGCAACAACAAAAGGAATACGCTGCCGTGAGCGGGCTGGTCGTGCAACTGCAGAGGGGCTACAACACCGCGAGCAGCAGATCCGGCGAGCCGACTAACAGCCAGCAGCCGGCGGCGGCGGAGCAGCGCGGCGCCGCGCTCAGCATGGAGGACTCCGTAGAGTAGACGAAAGTCAGTATCAGTTATCAGTAAAGTATACAGTTATGAGTACAGTAAACAAAAGAAAAGACCCATATACAGTAAGCCCACATTCCCGCCCAGATCTCTCACACACGCACCGAACCCGTGCGCCTTCTCTCGTTGTTGCGCGCCGCGAACGGGGCTTCCCTTCGCGCTCGCACAATTTTCCCAATCTCGCCCAAGTGTCTCTCGGGCAAGAGGGGACGATTTTAGGGAGGTAAAAAAAAAAAAAGAAACCTCCTCGCGCGCCGAATGATCGATTCGAGCACAGGGACGAAGGGAATCCTCAAATACCGTCGCCAACGCCGATAATACCCCCTCGATTGTCCCACGAACCCCCAACCACCTGCTCCACCCCCCCCCCTCACGACCTCTCTATTCCGATCGGAAGAAAACCTCGAGCGTTGCGAGGCAAAGTCCAGTGCGAGAAGGGGAGAACAAAAAGAGTGGCGATGCATAAATGCTAAGCACAACTTACCCGTAAACCCACTGCGATTCCGCCAGTTAGCGCATACCCGCCGTACGAACCCGCGTCCGGCTGGCCCCCACGGCCAACCTAGGTAGGTTAGGCGCGCGTGCAGGAAAACCCTTTCGACTTACGGCGAAAGTACATTTCGCATTTCGGAGTATACCGAGAAACGTAACGGATTAAAAAAAAAGACACACGCGACATGTTCATCGTGCCGAGTATTCACACGCGACACGCTTTTAGTAGACGCAAGGACCCATTCTGACCGCGTTTCTACAAGCCCGACATTCCACGAGACTTTCTCACACACTCAGCGACACTTACACATACATACATACATACATACATACATACATACATACATACATACACACACATCATATATACAAACGAGTACATATTACGCGAAGTATACAAAAATGGGGAACATAACGAGATACTTAGGCGTTGCGCGCGTCGTGCACGTGTCGTGTTACAAGCGGCGTAGCCGAGATCCTTCTTTCGCGTCAAGCATCGCCGAGTCGCATCGCGGATTCCGGCATTTCGCGCCGATGCGAAATCCATTTCCACGACGGACGCGGAGACCCGAAGTCTCGGTGATACACGTTTTACCGCCCCGCGACCGTCGTGGCACTGGCCGCCAGCCGGCGAGGGAGGCTCGGCTCGCGACACGCATGTGGGCACGCGCGCAACGCGAAATGTTAGCCGTTCGATGATTATTATTACGATTATTAATTACTGCAAACCACTAATCAATCGGTGGACGACGACGAAAGGTCAAACGATGGAACAAAAATGCCGACGCGACAGCATATTTTTTTCCTCTGTGAGTGTAAAACTACCTAATGCAAAAAGAAAAAAAAACTTATTATCTACTATTTAAACACTACTTAACTAAGGAAGCGACATAATTATATAAGGAATAATATATTATATATACATATATTTTTTGGTCATTAACGAAACGTGTGCGAAGCGAGAACGAGCCAAGGCTTTTGTTGGCGCGCGCAGGTGACGCGTTTTTCTTTTTCACGAGGCGACAATATTTCTATAATCTCGTTTATTTCGAGGCCAGCGTTCCACGTGAATGCGTCCCACGTTTCGGGCGTAAACATGGCAAAACGGGAGGAATGCAAAGAAAAAAAAAAATACCGGGATGCGATCTTTGTTGTTAGGAATTGCCTATAAAATTGTGATCTTTTTGTCCGAACAATCAGTGTAATGGCATGTTCAAGATGAATGCCCACGCTTTGTCTATGGAATTCTTTTCTTTTGTGGAGGATTTATGTATAATGAATAGCGTGAAAAATTCATTCTAATATTTTCTAATATTTTATAATTCTAATATTTTTTAAGCATAAAATGTTTCGAGCTTTTTGATATACGCAAAAAGAATAAAAGAATTTTATTTTAGGAATTTATTTTAAGAATTTGTAAGTATTAGAAGTAGCATCTAGTTACAAATTTAAAATAATATCAGTTAGTTGTATTGCTTTAATCCTCTGTTTCGCATGGAAAGTTCAAAGAAGAAAGTAATTTCACAAGCTCTTTTTTTGTAAGCAATTACGGCCACGAAGATCGCGATCTTTCGGCGTCACGCTATGGAATTAAATTGGTCCGAATCCAGGCAGAGCTAGAAAGATGCAAACGCGAAAAAAAAAGGATCAGAACGTGGGATAAGAGAGGAAAGGATACTGTTGCATTGCGCGCGCGCGCGCGCGCCGGCTCTCGATTCGGTTTCTCCGATACCGGAAGCGCAGACGTTTTTTCTTAAAGCGCGAGACGCCCACTTTTTGATACGAATACAAATTTTCTACTGCGTAGAGAGGAAGAAGAGAGAGAAAAAGAAAGATAAAAAGAAAGCTGCGGTTGCAGTAGCGCGAGGCAGTGAGTTATATCGTTTCTTCGCAAGGGAAAAGACTTACTAAACCTAGGAATGTTTTAATCTCTGTTTTCGTTTCTCACACATCGCGGCTCCCGCGAGAGCGATATATAATGCATTAGGGGGAACCAGCAGATTCATCGTGACGCGTCGGGACGGATTTTGGGCAGACACTTCGAGAGCGCGCGCGTCTCGATCGTCCGCCGCCGGTTTGAAGTGACGACGACACGAATTATCGAACGAATGACGAACATCGACGTTTTTAAGCGGCTACACGTCTCTTTCTCATTTGATTTTCTTGCGGATTCACGCGGTCATGCACGTCCAATTGTGCTCGCGATTGTGATATAGAAAACATACTCGAGAGTTTAGACATTACGATAAGTTTTCGGGTTCGAGAAAAACTCTTGAAATCTTGATAAAAGAATTTTTATCAATCGATAATTATCGTAAGAAATAAATAACTTTAAATGTCGATACGCGACTCTCAGTAGAAATTTTGTCTGACGATTCAATTAAGATGATAATTTAACTAGAATAAACATGTTTATAGTCCAGACTTAAAAATATTTTCAATTTCAACTACGTGTATATTGAAAACATTTCTATTGAAATCTGTAATAGAACTTTACTTGGAATTAATATATATTTTCTTAAGAAAATCTTTTTATAAAAAGTATCCAAGTTGTTCAATTAAAAGTTGAAATTTTCTTGCTCCCTCAGCAATTTAACGACGTGCGCGACTGACGTCGCATGATTTTCGGTAAAATTGAGTTTCACAGAGAGACGATCCGCGGAATTAGTATTAAAAGGACGATTTCGTCATTTCGTTAACATAATAGGCAGACCGTTGGACCAAGACGAAATCGACGGAGACGAAAGCCGGAGTAGAAAGGATCGGAGGCCAGACGAACGCGAGAAAACGGCGAACACACAAAAAAAAAAGAAAAATAAAATGGTGCTGTAGTGCGGGCCAGGATTTCCTATTTTTTCTCGCATAGTCGAAAAGCGTAGTCGCGGGAAAATGACGCGAATAAATAAAACGGAAAAGAAGAGGATATAGAGCAGCAGCAAGAAACGAAAAAGGATGATCCACACGCACTCATCTCATGACTCTCTTTAAAAGTAACGACTGAAAGACTCTAGGCTGTACATAAAGTATAAGGCATGTATGTTCGGTGTTTTAAAAATGCAAAAATTCCTTATTAATGCAAAAAAAATTATACCTACGAAAAAAGTAAACCATATAGGCAAGGCTACTCTCTCGGTGTTTTTTGGAACTAAACTTAAAATTTACCCTATTTAAAGCAAAAAAACCGTGAATAATGTAACTTTAAAGGAAGCGCGCGTAAACGCGGAAACAAGTTATTGAGTGTAAACGTTAAGGTCTCCTTAGGGTTAAAAAAAAACAAGCTGAACAGCAACAAAGCGAAATGCAAGCTAATTATGATTGTGTGTAAACGTAAATTTAAACCTTCCTTCGCCCTGTGTCCGCTAAGTCACTTTTTAACTGTCCACCACCACCACCACCACCACCACCTGTGTCTCTCTTCCCTTTATTCCTCCTCACCTTTTAACTCCTTCACTTCCTCGCAGACACACCCTTGATGAAGTATATAAATCACTCACGGTGTGATCTGACCTACTCGATGCCTCGAAATCTTTTTTCTAAATGTTCACCAGGCATTACTATGCGAAAAGGAGGGAAATATGTTTATACACTTGTTCTGACCACTAACTCACCCGTCCCTTACCCACCCTCCCACAACCTAAAGCCCCCCCCCCCAAACTCTTATACCCGCAAATTCGCATCACCGACACACCCAGAAAATCTCAAGCCCGATACCCTTTATCGAAAGATTTATCGTTAGATGTGAAAAAAAAAAGATATTTATCGTGCGGATGATAGTAAACGTGCGTACACACTATGATTGTCGTTAATTCAATTACGGTTACGATGTTTCGTCGCGACGTTTAGTGCGGTCTATAATCGGCGGATCTCAAATTTCCACGATCCATCGGGTGCAACGCGGTACGTCTTTTAGTAATATTTCTTTCCTTCGATTTTTTATCGCGAAAGAAAAGGCGATACACCAAGGGAGGATAGAAAGCGCGCAAGAGCAAATGTGGGACAAACGAGACTATCCGCGTCCTGACGTCCGCGTCGCCGAAAATAATTCGCAGTTGCTACGGATACCTGTCCTCTTCATCGTATTGCTCGTAATTGGAATTTAAATTGTGCAAGCAGACGACGATTGAATTGTTAATGGTTAGTTTTTCTCTCTATAAAATGTGTTATCCAATTGGTACCTGTAATTTTATATTCGCTAACTAGGCGAAAATTGGCTGGATCAAGAAAGAGAGAGAGAAATGTTAAATACATTTGTATTTGCAAATAAGAGTATAATTAAGATTAGGTAATGAATGTAATGGAATTTTTTATGTTTTATACTTTAGAAATCTAGTAAAATTCAATATTCGGTGAACGAAGTAATAATTTGTTGCTTGAGTGATTGAAATGTCTTCTTTAAAAGCGATCAACTGTATTTTTTGAAGATATAAAAGATTCGTTATTTCTACGTGTTATAAATTAAAAGGAAAGTAAAATAATAAAGACTGCAAAACATATTTGAAATTGTGAAATTGATCAATTGATTAATCTTTACAAGGCACGTGCAAGACACGTGCACGTTTGCAACCAAGGAGGCGACGTTTTCGACGACGCGGACTGAGGAATAATACGCGCGTGGCTCGCCCGCGCGTATAATTTAGGATAGGGACGATTAGGCGACAATTTAGCGCGATCGACGCCAACGGCGTAACAAACGATACGTCCGCGTAATGATCTCTCCCAGCGACACGCCGACGTGTCTGCCATAACAGAGTTTAGACTACCTACAGACGCGCGTAATACACACGTCACTCTTTTCTCTCGCGCCGGCACTACGCCGAAGAAGATTCTCACACTGGCGTGATACTTATACGTGAATACACACCGTGCGCGATTCTGCGATAAAGCGCGATCGCCGTCCGGACGAGCGATCGATGAGAGACGCGAGAGAAGGTCTCGTTCCTTCTTCGCAAGAAGGGTGGGATTATTGACGTCGACCGAGGGAGATATTTGTCTATCTTTTTGGCGACTTTCTTCGAGTAAAATCTATAGAGGAAAACAAGAACTCCCGTTCTCTCTCGAGAAATTTGCTACGCGCGATCGTCGGGGAAAGGGATATGAGAGAACTCGAGGCTAGGCATGTACCGTTGTAGACGCGATTGTTGAAGCACTGTCGATATCTTTACGTTCTTTATTTTTCGGGAGAGACGGTGGGGACGATGGCACGACGGAAGCTTCTCTCAAATCGAAATCGTATCGTTGCTCTCCGTTATTGAGAGATCGAGCTTAAGGTCTCTTTTATGCACGCATTCGTGCGCGCCGCGCAATGACAATTCTCGTTCGATTCCGAAGACGATTGGTAAGAAATTTCACGTTTTCTGTATCGTTGTTTCTAAAGTGCATAGTTATATTCGAAGAGAATGCAAAAAATCTACAAAAAATGCAGAGGGCGTCTAAAAGACGTCCGAAGGATCAGAATGTTTTTTAGACGCCCCTTCGTTATGTCTTCTTTAGATATTTGGGTCATCTCAAAAGTCTCTTTTATCTTTGAAGTACGTAGAAATTATCGTATTGCGATGCAGTGAAGAAACAAAAAAACAGCATGCATAGAAGATATCTTAACGTGTAATTTTCGCGATCGAAGAATTCAAAAGGATCCTTAGTTCTTTCGGGCCGCGTTCGCGCTTGTGCATCCTGTCGTCTCTCCCTTCGTCGCGGGCGATACGCTAAACAATCCGGCGAGTGACGGATTGGTCGAATATACGGGGAGGAACAGAAATCTTTAAGAATTAAAAGATGATATATTATATTAAAATATCTGTGATGTAAAAAGTAACAAAATTTTGATGTATATTTTTCACAAATTATTGTAACCAGCTAGTGTATATGTAATAAGATTACGGATATATATTATATATATATATATATATTATATATATATAAAAAGAAAAAAGACTATTGTAATTACGGTGTGCGAAGACAAAGTGAAAGACGAGTAAGAGAAGGCAAGCCGAGAAACTAAACGGGACAAAACAAGCAAGTAGGGGAAAGAGAGGGGGAGAAAGAGAGCGAGAGAAAAGAAAGAGTGAAAGAGAGCGAGAGAGATAGATAGATAGATAAATAGGAAGAAAGGGAAGACGGAAGAAGCGTGATCGCGAAATTACGTTGATCCACACCGGTGGTCAGAGCGGGACCAAGATGGCGGGCATCGCTCGGAAAGTCGGGTCCAAAGATTCCCGTTTTTTACGTTTTTCGTTTGCACACCTCTTTATGTTCGTCGCGCGCGTGCTCTTTCCGCTTTCATCGAGCCTCGATCAGGCAGAACGGGGAAGGAAACGGGAAGAGATTCTCACGTTCTCTTTCTCCTCTCTCGCCTCTTTGCGAGGAGAGAGGAGAAAGAGAGACAGTTGAGACTTCCTCGTTGCCCTTTCAGTTCGCGAAGGTAGAATGGGATTCGGACGCGATTCTGAATAATGGAAAACTGGAAGATTTGGTCCGATTGGCCCTGAAACGGCTCAATGTCAGCTACCTCACAATATTGTCACGTTTGGTATGGTTCCAGCGAAAGACCCTCGTGTGTCACGAGCGTGAGCGCAAAGAGACATACGCGACTTGCTTCCTTGAATTTCGAGCGATTAAAATTTATTCGATTAGCTCTCATTATCGCTTGCTTTTTATCTAAATTATATCACACCCGTTAGTAACTTAATAAAAAATATGTAATTTATTCGACAATACAATTTCTTTCTCAGACAATAAGTCTATTAAAAACTTTGAATTTTAATAAAAATATTATATTCATATATGTTTTACATAACGTATGTTGTTTTAAGTACATGTATAAAAATGTGTCCGAAAGTATTTCAGCTCTTTCCAAATTGTTCAACCTTTTAAAACATATAATGTGGTAATAATAGAGAAATCGTTGTACCATGAAATAATAAATTATTTAGTCCGAAGAAGTATATTAGGATTGAGATATTTGATTTTAACTTAATCAGTATTTTTACTTTGAAGCAATTTGATCTGTTATACGCGTTACCATCGATTCATCGGCACCGCAAATAGAATGTCTCGTCCCCACGATCGGCGGACACACGAGCGTCAGCAGACGGGGTCGTGTGAAAATGGTCTAAACAGTTCCAAATTGTGCCTAAGTTATGAAGTTACGTTTTTACGACTTGCACAGTAGCACGAACGAAAATAGATGAGACTATCGTAGCAGCAAACGGATTTAGTTCGAGCGCGCTTGACCGGAGGGCGACAACAGCGAACGCGATAGAGACAAAAGCGGTATATAGAGTTTCTTATTAAAGTAAATTTAAACAAGGGTGTATACTACCTTACACATACGTTCCAGGGCCGTCCGGCCGCCATCTTGCGTTCAACCTTATGTTCCGTTTTTTCGAATAAGTGCAATTAGGTACACGAACAGGATCCACACTCACAGGCACGCATTCACTCATTAAATACACACGGACACACGCGCACGTACACGTACACACGTACACGGCGAGAAAAAAAATGGAGTAAAACGAGCTGTTACGCGCTAAGTTACCGTTTTTTAAATTCTATTTTCAATTCACGCGCATTCTCGAATGTTGGGATTTTCGTGATCAACGAAGAGCTGGCCTGTCATTCATATAGGGATACACGCACATACATACACGCATACATAAATACATATACACATACACAAGGACATATATACGCAATCAAGCGACCGACGTCGATTCGACAAAAAGAAGGTCTTCCCTCGCGTACGCGCGGATCTTCCTTTAAAATTGACGAGACACTTGCATACGTCTCGAGTAGCAACGTGATGAAAAATCATTTCGTGCTTAATCTAAACTGCCGGCTACGTATATACGTTCCTATCTCCTGATACCAGATCGAGATAACGAGGATTGTTCCGTGCGATTGACCTCGCACGATTTTCACCTCTGAGATGATATTCGTCATCGTCGCCATCGTCGTAATTACGGTGTTCATTATTAGTGCTATATTTCCAAGATGAGCTTTTTTCTTTGAAAAATATTAATTACGGAATAAACCGAGTATAGTTATTAATTATTTAAAAATGATTCCCGTGAAGTGATCATTAAGAATGTATCATTAATAGGAAAAAATATCCACTTGATTGGAAGCTAATATTTGTCTATTTGTAAAATAAAGTATCTATTCGATTGAGAAAGTAAGACTTACTCCATTGGAATTGAATTTTTATTGAAATGGATAATTGTAATAATTATTGCCTATTTTTATACAAGTCTATTGCTCGCGTGTCTATACGCGTTTTTAAAATAATAATATAAAACATATACCTATTGAAAAATTACATAAATATTACTTAATTTTATAATTTTTATGTTTGTTAATAATGACACGGTTTGTTTCGTTGGCAAGAAACAATTTGTTTATGATATTTTACAATCTTAAAATATGAAATATTATGTGTAGATAAAAATATGAACGTAATGAACAATTGTCATCAATGAAAAACAAAATAGAGGAAATATAAATAATACGTGGAGGAAGATCCGCGCGTTCACGAGCCCGACAAGTCCACGCGAGTTCGCCTGAACCAATGTAGTAAATCGAAAAAGTCTCCTCCGTTGTCGGTCGAGGACTCGGTACCTTTCTGATCGGCTTTAATAAGCTTGCAATCCGTAGGCTTTTTTCAGTCATGAAGTGACTCTAAAGGCATAAAAAAAAAAGAGAAATAGCTCGGCGAGCGAGCGGCATCGTATACGTTGATCGACCGCACGCGTGTTG